AAAACAAGGGAGTTATAGCCATTTGAAGTTTCAGCCAATCAGATTGCAGCACACATGCATGCGCGTGATTTAATGAATTTTATCTTTATCGTATTAAAGGATATCGTAATGAATGACTATATTTCAAAATTACAAACATTTCGTCAAAAAACAAAGGAAATATAGCCATTTAAAGTTTCAGCCAATCAGATTGCAGCACACGCGCATGCGCGTGATTTCATGATTTTTTTCTATAAGATATTATAGAATATCCTAATGCATGACTATATTTTAAATTTCAAAGCATTTCGTCAAAAAACAAGGGAGATATAGCCATTTAAAGTTTCAGCCAATCAGATTGCAGCACGCGCGCATGCGCATACTTTCATCAACATTTTTATATATCATGCTGTAGATCTTCATAATGTAGGACTATGTTCAAAATTTCAAAAGATTATGACAAGAAACAAGAAAGATATTGACTTTAGTTTCAGCCAATCAGAGCGAAGCGCACGTGCATGCGCGTGCGATCTTGCTATTCTGACCATGCCATCTTGTCTATACTTATAATATATCCTTACATTATGAGTTTCAAAACATTTCATCAAAAAATAGAAAAGTTACGGCAATATATATTATATTTGTCATTTCACATGTTGCACGTGCATGCTCTTGCAAGCACGTGCGCGCAAAATGACCCTCGTTCGGCAAATCTACATAACATGTCTACTGACCCTAAAAACATTTTACCTTAGTTGGATGTGTAGTTTACAAGATCACTCGTGGACAAAATTTTCCCAGGAAGAAAAATAATAATAACTAGTGCTAATTGTAACGGGAACCGTTACAGATGTTCCCCAAACGCTCCCCAACTCCCTTTCGGTGCCATATTCCCTGTAAGCTTCATTAAATAAGACAAACTCTGTGCATTTTTGACTTTAACAATGTTTTCCCAGAAGGATACCAATTATATTCAATTTTTAGCATTGCACCCAAGCGCATGTGAATGCATGTGCGTTATGACCATATCATCTTGTCTACACCATTTACATATTTTAATATACTATATATTAAAGCATTCAGTCCAAAAGTAATAAAAATCACTCATTCAAGAGTATTTTTAAATACACTCGTTTCAAATGCACGCACGTGCATGCACGTGCATGATGATCATACCTTCTTGTAGGAGTCCCTTACATCTATCTATGTTCTAAATCCCATCCTGTTTGGTTGAAAAACAAGGGAGTTGTGGCCATTTAAAGTTTCAGCCAATCAGTAATCAGATTGCAGCACACGTGCATGCGCGTAATTTCATGATTTTTTTTATATCATTTTGTAGGATATCCTAATGCATGACTATATTTTAAATTTCAAAGAATTTCGTCAAAAAACAAAGGAGATATTGCCATTTAAAGTTTCAGCCAATCAGCTTGCAGCACGCGCACATGCGCATGCTTTCATGAAAATTCTTATATATCATGCGGTAGATCTTCATAATGTAGGACTATGTTCAAAATTTCAAAGGATTATGACAAGAAACAAGAAAGTTATTGAGACTTTAGTTTCAGCCAATCAGAGCGAAGCGCACGTGCATGCGCGTGAGATCTTGCTATTTTGACCATGCTATCTTGTCTATACTACTAATGTATCCTTACATTATGAGTTTCAAAAAATTTCATCAAAAAATAGAAAAGTTACGGCAATATCCATTATATTGGTAATTTCACCTGTTGCACGTGCGCGCTCTTGCAAGCACGTGCGCGCAAAATGACCTTTGTTTGGCAACTCTACATAACATGCCTACTGACCCTAAAAAGGTTTCACCTAAGTCGGATGTGTAGTTTACAAGATCACTCGTGGACAAAATTTTCCCAGGAAGAAGAAAAATAATAAGAATAATAATAACTAGTGCTAATTGTAACGGGAACCGTTACAGATGTTCCCCAAACGCTCCCCAACTTCCTTTTGGTGCCATATTCCCTGTAGTCTCTATTAAATAAGAAATACTTTATGGAATTTAGACTTAATCAAGGTCTTCCCAGAAAAATACAAAATATATTTAAAAATAGCCATTGCACACGTGTTCATGTGCGTAACGACCATATTATCTTGACTACACCATCTAAAATTTTAATATACTTAATATCAAAGCATTTAATCCAAAAGTATTAAAAAATACACTCATTCGAGTGTATTTTTAATTTTAGTCATTTCACGTGCACGCACGTGCAAGCACGTGCATAATGACTACACCTTCTTGTAGCAGTCCCTTATATTTATCTATGTTCTAAATCCCATCCTGTTTGGTGGAAAAACAAGGGAGTTATAGCCATTTGAAGTTTCAGCCAATCAGATTGCAGCACACATGCATGCGCGTGATTTCATAAATTTTTATCTCTATCGCATTGAAGGATATCTAAATGAATGACTATATTTTAAAATTCCAAACATTTCGTCAAGAAACAAAGGAGATATAGCCATATAAAGTTTCAGCCAATCAGATCTCAGCACACGTGCATGCGCGTGATTTTATGAATTTTTTTCTATATCATATTCTAGGATATCCTAATGCATGACTATGTTTTAAATTTCAAAGCATTTCGTCAAAAAACAAAGGAGATATAGCCATTTAAAGTTTCAGCCAATCAGATTGCAGCACGCGCGCATGCGCATGCTTTCATGAAAATTTTCATATATCATGCTGTAGATCTTTATAATGTAGGACGATGTGCAAAATTTCAAAAGATTATGACAAGAAACAAGAAAGATATTGAGACTTTAGTTTCAGCCAATCAGAGCGAAGCGCACGTGCATGCGCGTGAGATCTTGCTATTTTGACCATGCCATCTTGTCAATACTACTAATGTATACTTACATTATGAGTTTCAAAAAAATTCATCCAAAAAAGAAAAGTTACAGCAATATCCATTATATTGGTCATTTCATGTGTTGCACGTGCGCGCTCTTGCAAGCACGTGCGCGCAAAATGACCTTCGTTCGGCAAATCTGCATAACATGTCTACTGACCCTAAAAACATTTTACCTTAGTCGGATGTGTAGTTTACAAGATCATTCGTGGACAAAATTTTCCCAGGAAGAAGAAAAATAATAATAATAATAATAAGAAACAGAGTAAAAACAATATGTTCCCCAACTTCGTTTGGGGAACATAATAAGAAACAGAGTAAAAACAATATGTTCCCCAACTTCGTTTGGGGAACATAATAACTAGAAAGTCTGCTATTGCAAGCAATAGCATATGTCGCCCCGTACTGGACAAAACTTTCATTTTTATCATCACTAAAACAATGGTCCATTAGGTAAGCTTGGACAACCATCGAGTCGTATAAGTCCTTTTTGTTGCAAACGGAAGACCTTAATTGGGTACATCCAAATAATTATTTTTAGAATCGGTAGGAGAAGAAAGTAGTACAGGAAAAAATTACAAGTTCCTAAATTTGCAGACTTGCATAAAAGATATTGGGCAGATGTACTTAAACGAGCCTTGTACTTGTTAATTGGCAGTATCTTTCCTACCAAAAAAACATGGCAAATGTAATTTATTAAGAAGATCAGCCGAATTATTTTGTGTGTTATAGCGCCAGTGAGAACTCTGAAATTTCCTTACTTTCACTTTCATTTTTAGAGGTTCTGCCGGAAAACGAATCTGACATGACACCTTCAATTCCAGCATTTCTGCATTGCACAGGGCTGATGTTTCTTATGAGATGATAAATCATGTGTAAACGTTCTCAGTTTAGCGGAATCATGAACATTTTCGGCGATATGAATGTTTTGTTTACAGTAGTGATCAAGGCTTTGCGCACCTGTAGGCGTGGATCCAAGGATTTATGAATGAATAAAAGCTATGGAAATAACGTACCAACTTTTCTCTTTTATACTTGCACTATCTAATGAAATTAATAATATACATGTAATAGATATGCATGTACAAAAAAAAAACGCGAAATGCTAATAAATGCAGCTGACAATCGTTATTTTTTTATATAGATAAAATAAACTAATTGTAAAATCTAGAGACAAGACAGAAGAAGAATGGATGTTGGCAAACTATCAAATCACATCAGGAGAACTGAATTTTATGAATGAAACTTTTAAAACGTTACTTGTAAGGTGTATATGTTATATCTGTGTATTCTACCTGGCAGTGCGCTTCAAAAGGGGGGGGGGGTCGTCTTGAACATAGTACCTAATGTTTGAACGGTAAGGGCTAGGGCTTTCGTATTTCAAATATGCAATCCTTGTGAAATGAACTTTTATTGGACACGAAGAACTTTGACCCTTTGACCTAGACCTTGGAGAACACATGTGTACATCTTAACCTTTTTTTCTGTTTCGTTTCTATGACAACTGTGAGCGACTCATTTCAATTATTTTAAAAGTAGAAATCACTTTGACACATTGCAAGGAATTAACATTGAAAGTTTCAAAACGATTGCTTGAGTAGTTATTGAGAAAATCGAAATTAAAGAATTTTAACATTCCCCTGGTTTCCATGGCAATAATCGATTATTTGAAAATTTTAAATGCAAAGCGCACAACTACAGATACTAATCATTAAAATAAAAAGAGTTTCATGACGAACGTTTAAGGGACCAGAGAGAACACTCTCGGACAAAATTCGTCGCTTTTTACAGGTTTCCATGGCAACGGTAGACATATTGGAACTGAACGACCTCACTGCACAACTACAACCAGTGATCGTCCTTCGGGGAAAATTTCAGGAAGATTGTCCCAGCCATCTCCGAGAAACAGCCTGGATAAAAAAAACATGCGTACAATATCAATATGTCGTCCCCGACTTCGTTCGGGGCGACATAATAAGAAACAGAGTAAAAACAATATGTTCCCCAACTTCGTTTGGGGAACATAATAAGAAACAGAGTAAAAACAATATGTTCCCCAACTTCGTTTGGGGAACATAATAACATGAAGAGCACTAATGCTCACTTTGTCATATTGAAATAATTTCAGTCGTACTTGATTAAAAAATATATAACCTTTTTCTTCATTGCTGCTCCTACAATGCCACTTAGGTATATGTTATCATGAATAAGTATGGAGCATGCCAGTACTCTGTCACTTTCATACATCAGTTGTCCTTTTGTTATAGACTTTAAATCATTCCGTGCTTGTCTGTCATCTGAATGAAAGTAATGAAGTATATGTATTTTAAGTTGAATGACATTTCCGAATTCCAGGAACTCTATTGTATCACTGTATAGTTTACTTTCATTTAATTGAGAGAAAAAATCCATATTATTTAATTTTTTCTTATTTTTAAAAATTGAAATTGTATATACAAAGATTATATCATATTTTTATTTTAACATACTGTATAAAGAATTTCCCATTGATTTGTGGTAAGATGTGTGATTTTTTATCAAAATTTGATGTGTGTGTGTTTTTTTTATCCCTTTTTCAAGGCTTAAGAAAAGAAAATGTTATCTAGTTGAATAAAATTAATATCCAACCATAAACCATGAGAGATTCTATATTTATGCAAGCTAATTCATTATACCAGCCATTCTGTAAATGAAGTAGGCCTCTATCTGCTCCTTGGATATTTTAGGAAGGATAAGATGGTGGTCCTTTTGAAGCTGCTTAAATCCTGATGTGGGCCAGTCCACCACAGAAGGCTCAGGTAGTTTGATGGACGCTGGCGTGAAGTTGTCATTTCTGATGTAGGCTCTTAATCTAATACAGTAATGATTATAAATGTATATCTATATAAAGAGAAAAAGGGGAAACAACAGCACTCAAAATCGTTGCTGAGATGCATCTGCCGTACCTGTTCCATCTTGCATTTTATCACGAAATCCTCTCTGTTTACTAATCATGCTTTGATATATGTATTTGTTGTTTAATATACAGCAAGAAAAATAAATTATTACATGATAAATGAAACTACCTGTCAATAAGCTGAGTCTTTCGCCCAGTTGTCCGAGCTCCGCGATCGACCAACTCCTTTTTTAAGCGCGATACCGGCCAATCTACCAGATCCACAGCGTCGGAATCCATGTTGTTTTTATTAGTTACAAGCGCTTTCGGGATTCAAGCGTCCCGCGTACCACTTATAAAACAGCAGCGCCGCCTAACGTTTAATGACGTGAATGAAAGCTATTGACCTAAAAGTGAACAATTTAGAAAACAAGCTCGATGAGGCAGCAAAATTGACAGCGCAGAAAACTTCACTGGAAAAGGAAAGTACGCGGGAAATAAAAGATCAGGCAGACACAGTTAAGGCTCATAACGTTTCCTGTGATGATGACATTAGTTACGATTGTGACCAACCTGTTCCAAAGAGGCAGAACCAGGTATCTCCGATACAACCCACCGAGAAGGCAAATCATGAAATAATATTTGGATGGTGGGAAGTTCAATTGTACGCTACTTAAAATCAAAACTTATCTACAAATACAGGAACACCAAAGTTAC